TTTTTGAGGGTCTTTCTACTTTACTGTGGGGGGTCCTCTGGTAGTTTTTATCACTTTCAGGAATGCATGCTCAGTATGTAGGTGAAGTAGTTTATGGTCATGGAGATTAGGTAGATGAAGTAGGTTATAGGCACAAAAACTGCAGCTCCTGTCTGTCTAGCCTTCAGAAATACCTCTGAGCATGATGGCGACTGACTGGCACAAGATAGCACATGAATCAGCAAGTGTCAGAATGTAATTAACAAATGCAAATCTTTCATAAGATTACGAACCTGGGGTACCCAGCCAGTGGGAAAACAAGGGAGAGAGGTAGGCATGGGGAAGACAAGGTACAAAAGCTGTACTATTACATCCATAGTGCACTCCTGCTTGCAGGACACCCGCCATTGCAATTATGGATAAAATCTGCTGTTATAAGAGATAGTGTCCTGACAAAATTATTTGGATATTTCCAACAGGCCTGGGAGCAGGAGAGCTAAATGTAGTGCATTGCATTACAGCTGGGGAAAAGTGCCAATGTGGGAACTTAGAAAAAGCCAGTTTGGAACAAAGGTGCCTGGAATGCAGGAACTCTTGCCTCAGACACTACATTGCTCTGTTCTGAGATTCACTGTCCAAGAAGTAGCACTACAGAGCTGGTGGGAATGCAGAAAAGAGCAGGAGGAGAGAAAAACGTGGAAGAAATAAACACTATTAAGGAACTGATTCTGAAATCTTTCGACTGATCATTCCAGGCACTGGTGCAGGATATGAATTCAAAAATATTCAGTTCTGTGGGAAAGTGGAGTGGTAGCACTACACATAGCAGGGCTTACAGCCCTGAGCTGAGCACCAGCTTTCCCTGGCTCCAAACCCTGGAGAGCAGAGACATCCCCCTCTCCCCATCCCCATCTTTCTCTGTCGAGACACTGCCCCTCAGCAGCATTTAGTTTTTGGATTGCCCCTGTGAATATGCATGGAAGGCAGCTTCTTCCACATGGTAGATATCTTCTCCTCACAAGAAACATCTGGGTCTGGGAGGAGCCTGTTTGACAGTGTTCAGGAGCTTAACTGTGATCTGGCAGTGGGGACAATTGGGGTGCAAGGTGCTGGAGGAGCTCAGCACGCTGAAAAGGAGCAGCCTTTGGTGGTGCCAATCTATGTTAAAAATAACTCACAGCATTAGCAAACTACCCCAGTTACAGACAGAGCTAGCTCCACTCTGGGACAATAAAATAGCATGTGGCTCTGGACATGTGTGTTCTATTTTATGACCCCTCCACTATTTTTTGATAGATAACTGTAGATAAATTGTGGATGTCTTTCATTAGTTCAACTGAAACCATTGAATATAAATGCATTTTGAAAATATTTTCTCAGTTATGTCTGTCTTTATTAAGTCCTGCTGGGGCAAGCAGCCAACTGCTGTGGGAAAGGAAAGCCATTTTGCCATGTCCTTTAGGGGGTGAGGGAATGGAGAAAGGTCATAGAATCTTAGAATCATAGAATCTTAGAATGGCCTGGGTTGAAAAGGACCACAATGATCATCTGTTTATACGCTCCCTTCAAGTACTGGAAGGCCACAATGAGGTCTCCCTGGAGCCTTCTCTTCTCCAAGCTAAACAAGCCCAGTTCCCTCAACCTTTCCCCATAGGAGAGGTGCTTCAGCCCTCTGATCATCTTAGTGCCCTCCTCTGGACCTGCTCTAAGAGCTCTACGTCTATCTACTGGGCACTCCAGGCCTCAATGCAGTACTGCAGATGGGGCCTCACAAGAGCCGAGTAGAGGGGAACAATCACCTCCCTCTCCCTGCTGGCCACCCCTTTTTTAATGCAGCCCAGCACAAAGTTGGCCTTCTGGGCTGCAGGCACACACTGCTGGCTCATGTCCAGCTTCTCGTCCACCAGGACCCCCAAGTCCTTCTCTGCAGGGCTGCTCTCAAGGGGTTCTTCGCCCAGTCTATATAAACACTTGGAATTGCCCCAATCCAAGTGCAACACCTTGCACTTGGCCTTGTTGAACCTCAACAGGTATGGCAATCCATACTTCTGTTCCATTCTAGTACTCTGTAGGGTGCCTCTGGGAGAGGAGACACTCTGAAAGAGCAGCAAGACTTTTTGGCAGGGCCCAATGACGGTGCTCAGAAAGGAGACAGCTGACATAAAGTCCTTTGGATTACGTGCAGAAGTGCCAACACGCTTCCAGAGGGAAAATGCTACGAATGTGAGCAGACTAGGCTATTAATACAACAACTGGGTCTATATTCTGAATAATGACAACAGATCTCTTTCAAAGCTTTATTAAAACTCATGTCTAGACAAATAACTGTTTCTCCTGATCAAAGTTCTGATGTATTAGCACATGTACAATGAAAGCCATAGTTTACTTTCATTTGAACTGTAGCCTTGGTGTACTCATATGAGGCAATTGCCATCTTTTTGAGTGTGTACAAACTCAGCATAGTCAGTGCAAATTCTTTATTGAAACAATGACCAATTTACAAGCTGGATCACAATTCTTTTTGCCACTAGAGCATGAACTGGTCTCTGTGGTTTACGGCTGCGAACTATAAAACTGTAGCAGTTATTTAAATCAAAATACAGTAGCTGCTTCTCCAAAGAACATCGTTATCTTACATTTCTCATAAAATTAAAAAGGATTTCATAATAAATGAAATATAACAGGATACTTTAGTGCAAACACTTCCTTTCCATCTAAGAAGCTTTCGGTTGTCCCACAAAGTATGACATACCCTTAAAATAGCATGCTGCCAAGATAGGCCATGAGAACTTTTAAAATTCAACACTTGCTACTTCTCAGAATTAGTTGCTCTGAATCAAACTGAAGGTCAGAAAGCCCTGATTATGTTACAGTACTTTTGTCAAAAGGTAACTGCAAATTGAGGAACTGACATTGTAGCTACGTTAGAATAAAACAGGCACTGTTAAAAAAAAAGTAAAAATCAACATCTATGCCATTCAGCAAGACTGATGATGACAACACAGTAACTTTTAAGCACAGGAGCAAACTGCTATGCCTCACCTAAAACCAACAAACCTGCATAAAATGCTGATCTGTCCTTTCTAACAATTTTGAAATGACAGTCTTTAAAAATGAGTGAAGGGTAGGGACTTACTCACAAGCATACTCACTCAGAAAACAGAAGAGGGTCAGCAGTAAACAAGTGCTGATCAGAAAGAAAATGCTGTCAGTAAATAGTGAGCACAGTGTTCAAGTGGTCTGATTAATACAATCTTACGTTTAGTGCAAAAAGAAAGGTGAGTGTCAAAAATCAAATCCAACATTGATTTGTTGTGCTGCAGAAATCTAGTCATCTTTCATGAAGTTCCAGCAAAAATATTTTAAATAGCATAAATATATTCTGCAAATTTCATTTCCTTTCTGAGCAGGCCTGGTGTTCCTTATGCTGCTTGATAAATAAAACAGTACAGCAAAGGTATGCAGAGTCTAAGGATGACAACAGATTACTTAATGTCCCTGAAGTACTTAACGTGAACAAAAATACACAACAATGCAAATGTTAATGTTTCTTTCAAACCATCAATAATTTTATATTTGCTAATAGTGTTCTTGTGACATAAAATAGCCATTCTCTAGAAAATAGTGGGGGGAAAAAAAAAAAAAAAAATTGCTTACTTTATGAAAACGCAGCCAGAAAATTTGGAAGAGGAAAGATGGGTTTGGATCTTGAAGCCCACATACCTCCCACAAAGGAAATACCTGAAAGCATTGAAAAGCTTTATGCTTTCAGGTGTAGTATAGTAGACACATAAAAGAGAAGAATACATAAAACAAAACCATTACAGCCTGTGTTTTCTTTCAGTACAGCACTGTTCTGTTTTTTATTCCAGTAGTACCACCAAGCTCTATGTCCAAAACCTTTACAGCAGACTGGCTGTAAAGACTTGGCAGTCAGTGACTTCAGCTCCAGCAAAGTCAGTTGAGAAGTTCCCTTTGACCTTGCAACAGCAGAAATTCAGCATCGTACCTATTGCATGCATCAATTCCAAGTTACTGTTGCTCATAAATGATTCCCAAGGTATGTCTGTATATAAACACATGCTCTTTGTGGGCAGTCTTTGGAAAAAAATATGAACTGTATCTTCAAGGAACTTTACACACAGACACTAAACGGGATCAGGCAGTCAGGATCAGAATGGCCTAGTACCAATCACCATATGAATACATGACAGGGTCTGGTCTCCACTGGAAAAAATTGTAATTGGAAAGCAAATAAAATTAAATACTGTAGTTTAATTTTGAAACTTTTTTTTTTTAAAAAAGTTATTGAAGGAGAACATCCTTTATCATCTGAGCAGTTGGGCACCAAGCAGCCAACTTATCAACTGTGTTACCATTGTTTGTAAATACTGGGCAGGCAGAAAAAATCAAGATGCCTCTTTTCAGGAGATCAAGGTGAATGAAAGGAATTTAATGCAAGTTCCTGCTTTTTTTTTCTGCCCTCACCCTCTTTCAAACTAGAACCAAAGCGAGTGATTTGAAGAAAAACTGATATGATCAGAAATGTATTTTGGACTCAGACAAGGAAATAAGCTTGTCAGGTGTGAGGTTCCTCCTGCTGTTCTTACCCCACGTTCTAGATTTATATTGCTTCTCTCTAAAATGTTTCCAGCCACATTCCTTAAGGGATTTTGCCCTTGCACGTCTCCTTTTGGATATGTGCAAATGCATTTTGTAGAGGTGCTTACCACAGTGGTGAGCACAAATGTTAAGCAACTAAATGCGGTCATTTAGTTAGTGGAGTTTGCAGGATTGTTAATGCACCTGCATGTCTTCTAGTAACACTGCACATTCCTGCCAAATCACTACAAAGCAAGACATCCTGCATATTTGCAACTGTTTTCTTTACAAACTTTGGGCAAAGTCAGAGACAGACAAATGCAAGAAAAAACCTGCAGGGCTCTGACTGCAAATTTTTATAAGATGTTTAAGGGCTTTCCTATCTTTAAAAAAAAAAAAAACCTTAAAGTTGTTTCTTGACAAGAAAAAAAAAAAATACCCCACCCACTCATTGGCATCTTCATTCCGTGGAAAAGGGAAAACTATTTCCCTTGTGCCTAAGCAAGCTGGTCTCAAATGAAATGGAAACATTTTAACTTTCTTTAATGGCCTTCTCAATCACAATGCAGCTCAGCAAACAGGCTTTGTAAAAGTAATCTATTAGGATTTTATTTGGCTACTGGAGCGTTGCCTCTTGGGCATTCAAATTCACAAGCCAGTATTTGCAAAATAATGGAAAATAATGACTGTGAAGGAGGAAAATGAAAACCAGTTTCGTGTTCAATAAGTTCAAGTGTCCTGCATCAAATACTACCAGTGACTTCCAGGTGGCCACTACAGGTGACTCCAGCCTAGAAAACGCTGAGGTAAATGTTTCTTGGAAATACTCCTAATCCAAAAGAGCAAACAGTATTAATGTATTAGCAATTACTCTGCCATACATCATGATAAATTAAAGTCAAACCGAGAAGAAAGTGCCAATAATCCACACGCATGCTTTGCTATGATAGTCTCCTGGTAAGGCTTAGCGGCAAGTACAATATGTATTTTTAAAAGAGCTCCACCTGATTTTCCTGCTATGCATAGATTCAGGAATAACTATCATACATGGCTTTCATATATAACACACGTGTCATTTGCCAGTGCTGTGTCATCAGAACTCAGTTCGGCAGAAGGCTCAGGAGAGGGCTCTGCTGGAAGTGCTGGTGTTTGAGGAAGGTCTTCTTCCTTGGTGTCCAACTGCACACTTTCCTGTGACTGACCATCCATGCAGTCCTTTTTGGACAGTGGGTGAACCGACACTTTTATTGCAATCTGTTGAGGTGGCTCATGCAGTGATGATGCATCAGAGTCAGCTGTGGGAGAGTCACTGCGCTTCAAAGCATTCGGGATCGTATAGAGCTCATCTGTTTCAGTGGTTTCCTGGCCTTCTGCTGTCTGCCGTACAAAATTCTGTCCTTGCTCCTCCAGACCAACAACCTCCATAATTTCTTCCATTATAGTCCTGCAGTTCATGATGAGAGGTGGCAAAGGCACACTCCGAGCAAGCTCTTCGATATAGCGAGCAAATTCCATGGTCTTGAACTGTGTTACTTTGGCAAGCTCGAGCGTTTTGGCTGAAGTGATAATTGGGATACGTTTTGCAATCTCAAAGGCTTTCTGGAGTTTCTCTGCTCCTTCTGTTCTGAAGAATTCGTTGATTGCTTTCTCTGTTTTCTTCAGGTGACTGCTCATCATACACAACCGCGTAATGTTCAATATCATAACAATGGTGAAAGCTACAAGGCAGACAATCATGTAGTAGATTCCCATATCTCCAGAAGTAAAGACAACCCTCAGAGTCACAGTATTGTTAACACTGCCATACATATTAGATGCGACACACGTGTATTTACCTCTGTCTTCAAAAGACACGCTGGTAATGTTTAGGAGCCCATTGTCAAGAAACCACCATTTTCCTGCTGGAAAGGAGAACACAATAACTTAGAAGCATCTCGTTCACATGATCAGTACAGTTTAAACGTCAGCTTTGTCGAACTGGCCTCAGATTTTGGAAAAGGGAAGTAACGTTGATGAGAAAACAAAGAATTTGCCATCACAAAGGGGTTTCTCTTCCTGAGATCCTAGCTAGGTTATCAAATCATGGACACTGATTTCAAATATATTATAATTTCATGCTTTAAAAGAGTCTCATAAAAATTAGTCAATACATATGACCATCTATGAACATCTTATAGGCAGATAAAAAGATGGCAGCTTATCCCAGAGAGCCTCCCAAACACATGCCCCCTGTCCTCAAAGAACAATAACAACAAGATTACGAGACAGAAAAACCTACTAAACTCTCCTTGTTTTGTTCCCTGACAGTTCATTTGATTGCATTTTCATTGGGTTATTTTTGGTGTTTTGTTACAGTAACTTATGCAATTCTGATAACGTAAACCTACAAAAATAAGAATTCCAGAGATATCAGACTCAACCATTTTCCACCTCCTTACCACAACCCTAAGCCATTCCTGATAGGCATCTGTTGAAGTCAATGATGGAGTTTCTATTATCTTCCACAGCAAGGGATTTCAGGTGCTCACCTATCCGTACTATCAGAAAGTAGTTTTTCCTTATATCTAACTTAGTTTGCTGCAATTTAAGTCTGTTGAAGTAGCTGACCAAAGGCAGCAAATCTGTGATGAAAGGACTAAAATAACACAAAACCCCAATGCAGTGGATATAAATTCACATTGCAAGGGCTGCAGTCCTGCTGTAGGCTGGTGCACATCTTATATCTACATTTATTTTATCTTTTTCATCAAAGTTCTTCTGTTGTTGTTCAAAAGATTCTTCTATTTCTTACCTTATTTCTTTCCAGGAAGAATCTTTGGGCAACTTTGAGACTCAATAGTCCAAAAAAACACCTTTAATACAGAGCAGGAATGGGCTTTTATCATTTTTGTGGGTTTTTTTTCCTAATTAAACATGCACAGAATAAATAAAATCTTTAGTCTAAACCAGAACTTCACATAAAAGAAATCACTCCAATCAGGTAAAGATGGGGAAATTTTGAGTAAAACTGTCTTCAGTGGATGTGTCAACATCTGTAACACTTCCTTCTCCAGTTCTAGGTTAAGATGTACAGTCCTGACTGCTGTGTATTTCTTTGAATTACAATGTTGGCAAAGTAGGTCTTTATTCACTGTAAAATGACAAGACATCTTGCTGATGTATTCTGGCTCCAGCTATTACAAATGAGATAACAGCATGAACTGTGATTCAAAGACCCTGGCAGACAATGTAAGCCACATGTGAAAACAATAAATAGAAAAGGTATCATTGCTATTTTTTTTTTATAACAGCTCAACACCTTTTTCAGCCTAACCACACATATGCATCTTGTGCTAGGCAACATTTCTTACATGAAAAGAACTGTATTCTTAAAGAAGTGCAGTGTTGAAAGTCAAAGATGAAGTTACATTTTCTTATGCCACGTTTGCATTTTCATTGATTTGGACAAAGTTTTTGCTTATCTACCTGAATGCTTGTCTTAGCAGCTACCTCTCTGTGAACTACACTAAGACCAAAAGTTAGATGCCTAGCTAAACAGGAAAACTTCTGTTGGTAAGCCCCAGCAAAACTCTCTATATGTTCCTATGACTATGCACATATTATATCTGCTTGACTAGGTCAAGCAGCTTCTTTCTCTAGATCTACAGAAAAAAAGAAAAGATAAAATATTGAAATGTAAAATATAATCTATTCTGTAGTACGTTGTTACAGATATGCTGTTGTAGCACTTACAGTTGGGTCAATCATTTCCATAATTCCATGACTCCATAGAGTTGTCCCTCAGTTCAGCTTATTTAGACAAGCTGTCCTGCAATTATTGTGAATTATTAAGAGTTTGAACAAAGCAGTCAGTATAGAAGGATTACATGAACAAAACACCTTCCATCTGCCCCCACTAAATGTTCCCTAAAAGTATAACTACGATTATCCCACCAAACCTTCCTTTTTCCTAAGGAAAACAAGCTCATGGGAAATGAAGGTCTCTGGCAAACACAACAGTCTTAGTGCAGCCAGAATGGCTCAGACTTGGCTTGTCCATCTAACTGCTGCCCTGTATGGGAACTGTTGAGTCACAGCCTGAACCACTGATTGATCACCTGAGGACAGGACTGAGTCAGCCCTGGGAGCACAGGTGAAGGCTGTAGACCCCATTTAAGGGCTGACTGCCATTAGGAAGGATCTCTTTCTGGAGATCCCTCCTCTGTGGAGTCTTTCCTGTGAACCTAGATCTTTGGATACAGGTGAGCGTTTCTTCCTTGTTTGTTTCTTTTCCCGTTTTCACCACGATAATCTTTCCAGCTGTAACACCAACTATAATGTGCCCCTACATAAACTCTTCCATTGGTTATTCAGGGCATCTCCTGTTTCTCACATGTGTCACTGTACATAGAGATGGGGAAGGCTAGCAGGGAGTTATTTTCTTTGAAACTGTGCCAGTGAACTCTTCCCATATGCCAAGAGAACCTTTCCTTGAGTTGGAAAACAGCTTTTCTGTCTTCTTTGGTGTCAGAGAAGAACAAAGAGGAGAGAATGAATAATAAGATCAAACCTGAAGTCTTCCAATGAAAAGAAGCCTGCCTACAACATAAGCATTTCAGCTTCTTGCTATGTTTTGCTATAAATAACACACTACAAAAAATTGTTTTCTTCTGAGGTGTGTACACAACATTCATAGCTGATATGATTCATATATCTTCCTACAGGAAAATACCAGTATCCAGTTATTAAATTAAGACTTTTAGTTAACCTGCTGAAATCAGAAGTGTCTCAGGACAGACTACATTGCTGAGAATACTAAAATCTTACCTTTATTCTCTTCCTCTTGGAGCAGGCGGCCGTTGGAATTGTACCATCTGTAATGTGGACTAGGACTACCTTGGACATTGCAGTCAATCAAGGCACTACACCCCTCCTTGACTATGATGTGGTCGATGTGGGAGATGACCACAGGCACAGATCCTGTGTTTGTGCCAGTGCGGTTGAAAGTGCTATTAGTCACATCCTCAGCAGTTGTCAGAGCTGCTAGTAAGATGACAAGGCGTATGGTAGGCAGAAAGCACATGGAGTGGTGGCTGTTCAGTATGTTCATTTTCCTTCAGTGCTATACGCAGCTGGCTGGAAACTGGAGTTGGTTCTGTAGAATGTAGGCCCTTGAGGTGAGGAGCTCACAAGAGAGCCTTGTTTTGATCCATGCAATTTTTTTTTTTTTAATATCCTAAAAAAAAAAAAAAAAAAAAAAAAGTATAATGAGATGGCCTGTATAAACAATCCATTAGATTTGCTCCTTTAAAACAGTGACACATCCATTAATGCATTTCACAATCATCAGCTCAATGTCTTGTCTAAATGCTAATGTTATCACAGTCCTTTTTCTTACTGGAAAAGGATGCATACGTTTTCCTGTTGTTCAGAGCACCAGGCGTAGGAGAAAGCTTTTATCACCTAGACACTTAGCAGCAATTTAGCTACAGCAGCAGCTACAATTTTATTCCAAAAGTTCTACAGAATTCCTTTTTTTTTTTTTTTTTTTTTTGCATCTGCAAAGTCAACAGGCAAACAAAGGTACAGCACATTAAAGCTGTCACTAACAGTTCAGTGCTGCAGCTCTGTCACGCACAGTCTTGAAATGTGGAACGTGTCAGAAGGAAGAATGGCTCCAGGAAGGGGTTTTTGGAGCTGCTTTTAGAGCCCTTAGCATTCACAATTTTGGCTGAATACAGTAGAGCATACAACAGAACATCTAAAACCATTCACTTTTTGTTTTTCATCAAGTTTTCTGAGATAAAATGTAACATGAAAGAGATGTAAAAGAGGGTATTTAGTAGTTCATAAAGTCATTTTTAGAGCAGATTTGGAAAGAAAAATACTTGCTAGTGACTCGCTTACAGGCAAGGTTGCTTTGAGGTACAAATGAAGCTGGGACTTTTCCCTTCCTTATGTGGCCTTAAGTATTTTGCTTGTTCAGTTTTTGCACACTCTCACAACAGTATTTTTCTTCAACTAATCATCTACAATGAGCCCTTTCTTTAACAATGACTTCAGTTTGTAGACAGAGGAGGGGGAGTTACAAATGTGCTCTCTATTGGCCTTGTTATGCTCCCTGAAAACACAATGGGAATTCGCTACTGACTGATGGCACAATGTTGGCCTCAAGATGAGCACCTCTCAAAATTTCACTCGCAGTCTAAGGGCCACAAAATATGTTAAAATCACATCAGAATAGCTAACCACATTGGTTTTTACTCACATTTTTGTAAGGTAAATAACTGAAACTTAATGAACCTTATTAAGGAGGGGAGATTTAGGTTGGATGTCAGAAGGAAATTCTTTCCTATGAGAGTGGTGAGGTGCTGGAACAGCTGCCCAGAGTGGCTGTGGATGCCCTGTGCATCCCTAGAGGTGTTCAAGGCCAGGTTGGATGGGCAGCCTGGGCTGCTGTTAAATGTGGAGGTTGGAGGCCCTGCATGTGGCAGGGGGGTTGGAGATTCATGATCCTTGAAGTCCCTTCCAACCTTGGCCATTCTGTGATTATTAGTTTGAGCAATCTATCTGAAATCTAAACATAGGTCACAGTTAGTATCCAACAAACTTGCCCTAAGTGACCATTTCACTTGCAAAACTGTTTACATTATACTGAAGATTCGTTTGATGTCGTGGTACCTCATCTGCTTGAGCATGGAGAAATGACTGCTGACAAAGTTAGACAAGTTACATATAAACAAGAAAAACTAAAATAAAAGTGTCGTCTTTAGTCAAAAAGAAAACATTACTGTCTTTCACTGGTTCTATTTGTCTTAGGCTGTTTTCTTCTCCATTCCCTATTCATTCTAATGCAATGAAGCTGATTTCATACAAATGGATACAGCTGTTACTAAAAGAGCAAATTAGTTTCCTCTATTCTGTAGGATGGATCATTACTGGAAACAAAAAGCTATGTTTGTTTTTGTTTTTTTTTTCTTCAGAGAAGCTGCATGAATGGTATGAATGTCTGTCAGAGCTTCAAGTCTGCCCCCATTTTCTCTCAGTTTTCCTAAATCCTGAACATGGAAATATCTGCCTTGATGAGGCAGAATAATTTTTAACCTTACATTTAACACTCAAATCTCATTTGTCCTGTAAAGCCATATGGACAGTCATTCAGAAATCCATTTCCCTCTGTGCAAACTGTGAAGAGTCTAAATTCTAGACATTCTCTACAGATAGGCACAGTGTGTCTAAATCTCTGCCTTGGAAAAAGTCCTTCAAATCTGCTTATTCACTTCAGTAACTATTTACATCTAATTTCTACTATTCCATTAACCTTGGAGCCAGCCATTCTTTATGGTTACACGGATTCAGTCTATAAAATGCTTGTGTACAGTGTTATAGATCTGCATTGCACCATAGAAAAAAGCCAAAAGACATGTCACACTTTCTGGCAAGGGAAGGAGGAACAAAGACTGGCTGGTACAAGACAATGGGAAGGGCAAAGGAACAATATAAACTGCTCAAGCTTTTATTGCTAATTACTGACTGCAGCCTGTTTTTGTTGTATTTGAGCATATTTTCTGATGGCAGAAAAATCCCTAGCAATCCAAGCTGTTGTTTGGTACAGAAAATAATTTGAATCCTAGACAGAAATGAAACATCACCCAGCAGGTGAACAGAAAACATGTAAGGACCCTCAATCTACTGGGAAGCTCAGTTTGGTTGGTGGCCCAGTGAGTCCCTACTGTGCTGGGCTGCTATGGATGGATGTTTTAGAAAGTGTGTGGTGGCAGTAATGGTGTGAGGATTTTGTGTGTTTACCTTTGCTTCAATGTGCTGTGTGTTAAGCACAAACTGCACCTTTGTGTAGTGGTAACAAATTTGACTGGTTAACGTGGTCAAAGGGTCTGAAAATAACAGCTGCTCCCTCCTTCTGGCACAACACAAGTGAATCATATATAGATGCAGTAAAAATTAAGAGACAGAGATGAAATAATTGACATCTACTGTGAGAGATTAATACCTACTTGCTTTACTCTTGGGAATGTACTTTCTCATGTATGTTCCTGGAATGCAGAGTACTATGAAAGCACTTAATACCTTCACAGGTGCATATCTGTGCATATCTTGAAATAAATTTAGTTTGATGGCTGCTATAAGCAATAACCAGGCAGGAATCTTAACACAGAATGTTTGGGAGTGGTGGTTGCTTCTTTCATGTGCCATCCAGGGAAGGGCTATTGATGGTCCTCTGGTTTTATCTGAAGAGTTAGGGAGAAATCTCTCTGAAGAACAGTGTTTTAAGATGCTAGTTTAGACAAATGTTCCTAGGCAACGAAGAATAGGAAATCTTTTCTTTGGTGTGCATCCTACGCACTGTTAGTGGATAACAAAAAAAATATGGAAGAAATGAAAGGTTTTCTCAGCTCCACCTAACAAGAGAAAGTTAAAGGGTAGCCATTTAGGTAGCTATCCATCCTGGACCCTCTGCTAAGCTGCTGTGCAGGACCAAAAACGTTGTAGTCAGGTTTGGAAAGCAGGAAGGAGAATTGGAAACAGTGGAAAATGTGCTGACAGCTGACTGTGGTGCAAAGGGAGATGTCCTGAGAGGTTTCCATCCTGCTTTTGCCTTACACACAGTAGCAGCTGAGGATGGTTAAGGAAAGCAACTCTGGGAGTCAGCTGCTTTCTTAAACATAAATGATGCAATGGGTTATGATTCAATTACACAACTAAAAGGCAAGTTAAGAGTATTGAAACAGGACTGGTAGTGATGTCAGCCCGCTTCTAGCAAAGACACATGAGAATCCAGGGTGTGGGAGAAGTGGGCACAGTGCTAATCTCTCTGGTTCTTGGCCATGACAGGTTTTAGTGAACTGTGGCCCATAATGAAAACTATGAAGGCTGCCAAATTCATAACCTTTTAATTTCACTCTTAGTCAGAGAACAGCTAGATTGCTTAGACTAAAACAAAGACTCCTGCAAGAACTCCTTAAGACTGAGAGTAATACAGGATGCTTGTGAAGGGAGACATTATAATATAGGGTATTGCTTTGAATGAACAAACTCAATCTCTGGGAGCACTTTTGCCACAGAATGGGAGTTAATATAAAGTTACGTTTCTGGACATGGAAAGAATGGATGCATTCTTTTTATTGTCATGAGCTATCTGAAAAACTAAAAGTTTATAGTAAGTTTAATACAGTTACATACACTTATTTTTCCTTCTTTTTTTAATTTTTTTTTAATTTTTTTAAACTATGGTGCATGAAAAGGAAAAGCAACATCCCTAGCTACCCTGAACTACTTCTTCCACCCAAAGCTAATTAGGGACAGCCTACCTCTAAGATGATATAAGAGGAATGTCCAAATTCTCCACCATCATCTAACACAAAGATATCTTCCCCTGGCATAGTGTATCTGTAGCAACATTCACTACTGCAAGATGGTTGCTGGGAGTCCTTACATAAAATTATTTTGTTTCTTTCTTTCCACATGGTATAAAATGAAAATCTGAAAGTAACAGTGCTGCTCATAGGATTAACTTCCAAGAAAAACAGCACGAGATGAGCTATGTGAGGGAACTGCAACGGGCTTTTAAGTGACAGGACAGCTGTCTCTGTGGTGCTATCTCTGCCTTTTTATCTGGAGAAGTTCCCTGGAATAGGCTTGAGAGCAAGCACAGCCGCAGGCTGATGGTATTAGTCCTGACTGTGAAATGGACCAAAACTGAGATTAGAACTTCTCTGTCCAAAACCACTGATGGTCTTAATAGAAGACACTTTCAGCTCAGACTGGCTGGAAACACAAATGACTCAGAGAAATGTTCTGACTGACCGTTTACTTTTTCACATCCCAGATGACTTTGCTTCCCAGTATTACTGCTGCCAAGAAAAAGTGCTGTGAGTGAGGTGCTACATTTATAAGCACTGCATTTGTGCAGAATGACACGATGACAGCAAAAAGAAGAGAAGTCAGTGATGCATACCTTTTCCTGGCTTGCTTGCTCCTGTGAGACTTGCCTGTTCTTGTACTTGGAATAATGGTGTAATCCTATTAACTGTGAAGTTATTCAATTCAGAAATGAAGCACAAGAAGTCAGTTCAAATGCAGGAATTATAGTCCTACAACTTTAACATCTCAATGCTGTCTTGCTTAGCTTTTAAGTGACCAAGAAAATGAAATGTTTTTCGCTTTATAAATAACAATCAAGGATGATGCTACAGAACAAAATTAATGCTAATTACTTTTTTTTAACTACTTATTACATTTCCTCTTCAGGCCAATCCATCTCTTAGTTGCCATGGGCAATGCCTTTTCAAAGTGGGCAACAGTAAAAGTTAACAGGTGTCACTGGAACAGGAATGCAAATGAAGGAACACTGTTTCATCATAATGACACACAAACTGGAAAGTTCATTGCCAGTTCCTAGGAGAGTGAAAACTACCTAATGAAATGATTAAGCTATTAGGGTCCAGGTAGCAAATGAAGAGAAATACAATTCACATCTTGCAGCAACTTCCGGATTTGTATCTCTAGTCATTTGCTCGTCAATAAAATACTGCAGCATGGTTCTGAAAAAGCTGCTTTTCATTCTTTCTGGGAGGATTTCAATCCTTCCTAACTTCACTGTCTTCCACTTCCCTGACTACTATGTCAAACAGATGACACGCTGGCAGCGTGGTTGAAGAGCTTCCTTCTGCCCATCTAGACTGCAGCTTTCAGCTGGGCAGCAACTCCCAAGTAGGTGTGTTTCAGTCTCTTTGGCTGCATGCAGCTGCCTGGGAAGCTTTCAGAAACTTCTTGTCAAGGCTGCGTGATGCTGTCCTGGCCGCACTGGCAATGCCACTTGGCGTCACACTTGCTGCCTTCAGGCACACGACGTGAGGGTATGGGGACCCAGACCAAGGCTCCTCTCACAGGACACAAGCTGCTACAACAGAAATTATGGCTATCTGTGTAGAAAGTTTAAACTGAGAGCTCAGTCAAGGCCCAGAATGGGGCAGTATGCAGTGCTGACTCAAGTGATGGCAAATAATTGTATGCATTTTTAACATATTGGCTAAACACAGTCCTGTGAACAGCAATAAATATGCACCTAGCATTGTGTTTTGATACAGGAATTTGAGAATGGGTTTCAAGACTGCTGAAAAAAAATCAACAACTTATGTTCGTGACTCCATTTTCAGTCAATATAAACACATCACCTGCAGATTTTCAGATGGAACGTATGGATTTGCAATCAGACATTCAACTCTGAAGTGTGATCGTGTCTTTACCAGACTTCTATAAGCCCTCTCCTAACAGAGAGACATACCCCTCGTTTCACAGTCACACCTTACTCATGGTGTTGTCTGAAAAGTGCATTCATTGCCTGGTGTGCAAAAAGTCAATCATCACACACTCAGGATAGACACTGCTTATTTATTTCGGGGTTGTGGAAGCCTGAGTGCTCAGTAGTTTCCCACAGATCACGCACCGTAAATTAATTGCAGCAAGAAAGCAATAAGCAATGTGGTTACCCCATGTTCTATATTTGTGATAAAAAAATATCCTATAAACATTTCCTACATGGCAAATCCAGACTCCTGGGGCAGGGAAGGAAGGATATGTCATTCTATTCAGTGATGGTAAAAATATCCTCCAGATTATGACTTTACAAGCCTGTAAATATTTTAAAAGCCTTATTGCAAATAAGTATTTTTACCGTAAAGCTCTCCTCATTATCATTCCTCTTTGTTCTACTTCATGCCTGGGTATTGCAAAACTAGCCAGCATATGAAATCCCAGAGAATTTAAACCCTCCTCACTCTAAACACTTGAATGGTTCCATTGATTTGGCCATGTTTTTAAGTGACCTGGTGCCTGTTCCCCTCACTCCAACAAATGCTCAAAGACCCTAATCCATTAACCTAAAAATGAACAGATGGAGGCTGTTGTTAGGTAATTACTGAGAGATTATTTAAAAGTACTTCAAGAATGCCAAACCTCTGAAAAGTTCCTTTCTGATGTTGCAGTTCCTGTAATCCCAGCATCTCTGCTGTTTCAAATCTTTTAAGAAATACACCAAATTAAAACAAAACAAAACTGTTGAGGCAACTTGGACATATAACTTTTCATTAGATAAGATGCAGTATATGTGCACATTTTTATATAGAATGAGCAATTGTTTTCTCTTGGAGGTATTTTAATGACTGCAGTAAAAACAGTTTTATATTTAGTGGAGAAGCTTGCTGTTTTTAAATCAACACACGTACTGCAATGGAAATGTCTTTCTACTGAGCTGTGGGCTACCTGGATCCTAAAGCAGATAGAATGCTATCAGTAGCAGAAACTTTTTAAAGCCCAGCTCATATTTGATCAGGTATGAGCTCTTGTCAGGATTTTCCAAGTAAATGCTTCTTTCATGATGATGATTTAGATTTACTTAGCATTTGTATTTATTTGGAGGCTGTAAAAATTCCTACTCAACCTTGTTTTGTGTACAAAGCTATTATTCCAGAAACACCTGTACAACTTTAAGAGGCTCAACTCCCTGCAAGCTTTCAGCATAGCTGCTGTTTTACTGTTGGCAATAAACACAGATGGTTCATTGCCTAGAAGTTCCCTTTTTTGAGAAAGAAGGAACAAAGAAGATGCAGAGATCTGTCCCACGCTTCAACATGCATCTGCACACTGCCTGGCCTCACCAAGCTTTGGGTTATCTTCCCTTTTCTTTACTCACCTCTTCTATTTATACCAGCACATCACAGGTATTATTGTACTAACAGCTTAAGTAACCAACTGTCAGCTAAAACAACAGATCTCATATGCTCTTGGGATGGCTTATCTATTCTTAGTGCTAGGAACACAGCAATGTGGAATGGGGTCCGACTCATTTCCATTTGCTTTCTCTTCAACTGAGCTGTTTGGCAAAGCTGACCATTCCTTAGATAGGTCTGCTTGTTTTCTTTTTCCAAATGATGAATTAAAAAATCTAAATGTAGGGAATTTAGCCCTTTGCAGGGCTCAAGACTTCTCTACTTCTTAAATTCTAAATTTCGCATGTGCTTTGAGTAAGTGTTTCCAATTCACTGCATACAGTTTGCATTAGAAACAGTATTTTAACAAAAGGCTCCCATTTATAAAACAGAATAAAAAATAGGAATAAAACAGAGTAGAGTATGACTAATTCATCTGTGTCCTCATCGAACTGCAAGATGTATATATTTACCCATTTTTAATGACTGGCCTAAGCATGTACTGGCTTCTGGGATTCAGTGCAAAGAGGTTACATGTGGATGCTGTGATTAAGACAGGATTAAACTTGTAAAGGGGGAATTTAAACGAATCTAGCCAGTCATAGCCGATTGCAATATTAAAGGATCACTTCAGATTAAAAATGCTGTGCCTATTTCCTCCACCAGTATCAGAAAGGAACAGCAAATGGTATTCAAAGGAGTTTGCCTTACACAAGACGGAAACTTGAGCCTTGCTCGTACACAAATGTGATCAATTTAGGACTACGGGGAATGGCTTCAAGCTGCACCAGGGGAGATTTAGGCTGGACGTTAGGAAATACTACTTCTCTGAAAGAGTGGTCAGGCACTGGAATGGGCTGCCCAGAGAGGTGGTGGAGTCACTGACCCTGGAGGTGTTCAAGGAACGTTTGGATGTTGTGTTGAGGGACATGGTTTAGTGAGAACTGTTGGTGATGGGTGGATGGTTGGACTGGATGATCTTGTAGGTCTCTTCCAACCTTGGTGTTTCTGTGATTCTGTGATTCAATACAGCCCTCTCCTAGTGTGTCTTCATATGGCCACTGCTGTGAAATAATCTAGGTAGAATTCATCAAGAGTTTACTGAAGAACCTCTGTAGCTTCTCTGCTATTTCATCTGCTCTGGACTAAAAAAATATAACATCAAAATAACAGAAGTTTCTAAGCATCTTTTGTCAAGCTGATCACAATTAGATAATGTACAGAACAGCTAATGTAGCAACATCATTCAGAAATGAGTTTATAAATATAAGCCTTACAGAGCTATCTGCTATACCACATCACAGCACTGCCACCAGCCACAGGCAAAACCTACCGAAAAAAAAAACCTGCAGCAGTGCTGGTAGGACTGTGTGCCATGCATTGTGTGTGCATGAGTGGGGACTGCACGCACAGCAGTGTGGTTGCAATGCAGTACAGATGCCCTGTCCCTGTGCGACTTAAAAACATCAGCAGGAATCATTTGTGGCTACAAAACATGGCAGAATGTGTTAATTAAATGTTAAGCCTGCCGAGAAAGGCTGTTCTTAATGTAATCCCTCCACGTGTTGTGGTCTCCTTCCAAAGTAGGAGAATTATGTGCCTGTACAGAGCTCCCGATTTCTGATAAGCACTGCTCCTGTTAATGACTCTGAAGTGAGACAGTCCTCTGTCTGATGTTGTGTTAGCTAAGTAAAAAATCACAACGTCTCTTTGAATTGCTCCATCCTGCACCTATACAAACATGCACAAGTTTTGTCTGCCTCTTACCCCTTTCCTGGTAGACAGAAGATCTGACGCTCTAAAATGCCGTTATGATTTATTTTAATCACAGTAACTGGGGAAAAAATAACAGCACACCCACTGTCTTGGAAATGGTGTTTCTGAGGTGGGTCTGTACGTGGATGAAGAATGCCACTGCTTCAGTCAGCACAACTAAATAACAAAATTAAGGCTACACAGAGGGCTTTGCAAAGGTGCACAGCTGCAAGGCCAGGCAGAACTGCAGGTAGGAAATATCCCAGGAAGCACTAAGGTGGTACACCACAGCCTTCTGGTGACACGTTAACACATCTGTGTTAGCTAGAGGCTTTCACAATGGGAAACTTGCCTGTGCTGGACTAATACCGAATATTAAGGTGGAAAGCTGCTTCTTGATGGATTGTCTGCTGTCTGTCCAGACTTTCAGCTTCAAATTCTTCATAAGAAATGGCACATATACAGTGTGCACTCATGCTGCCTGAATTGTGCTCCTAACTGACGGACATTGGCACACTGCAGTCTGAACTAGAAGCCTTTCCACTACAAAAGGATCCCGACTGCACCAAGCACAAGTACCCTAATGGTGCTGCTGCTAACCGAACACACTAAGCCAGACAAAAGACACTGCCATACAAACCACCTCCGCTGAAAGGAGATCTGCCAGATTTTGTCCTACTGCAGCAAAGAGAGAAACTGCTCCATAAAGCATCGATTCCAAACATCTCAACTGCTCCACTCTTCCCCTGTAAACTCCTCTGTGTTTCTCACTGTGAGCTAACCTCGCTGTTCTTCAGCCAAACCAAATGAAGTCGCATGTGGCATTTGGCACTGCCTACCCCGCAGGTACTTCTGTTTCTGGAGCAGGGAAGCTTCACGCCGGCAGCTCTCAGAGGACAGCTGGGAAGCACGCTTTCCTACCGGGCGCCCAGATAAACGCACCGGACGATCGGCTGCTCAGCAGCGCTGCGCTCTGATCTCTAAGCCCGCTCTTCTGGCGCTGCTCGACTTTGGCTACTTCTGCCAGGCTGCAGTTCCTGCAGGGCACTTTGGAAATTGACTTCTATCTCATGAGGCTGTGAAATAAAAAGGTAATTACGGAGAAAAAGCAGGGGGTCACCTTTATTTTAAATGTAAGGCAACACAACTTCAGCTCTCTGAAGAGGCCAGCTCCATAGAAAAGATCCCCGTGCGGATTTCCTAACGCCCTTTCTTTCTCTGCCCGGAGCGCGCATCGACCCACCGGGAGCAGCGGGAAGGCAGAAGCCCCAGGTATTCCTGCGTAAAGCCGCGCGTCCTCCTGAAAGCCCCGGTCCCGCTGCGAATCCATCCCTTCAACTTTCACGCTCCGTCCGGCATTACTTCC